AGAACGGCCCGGAGAGATAAATGTCAGATTGGACCTCGGCTGAGCCTCTTGATGCAGCTCAGGGCCCCGCGGTTTGTTTAGGACATCCACGGACACTTTGCAGCCAACTGCTGCTGCCAGCATTGTTTTGTTTACTGTCACTTCTATTTATGTATAGCGCTGTTCGCATTTAAGGCATACAAAAGAAAGAAAAATGACTGATGGCACATAAAAACTCTCATATGATAAGCAAATTTGTCTTACTTAATTATAAGCCAAACCCACCTTTCATAACAGAGAATATATTAATATTTAAATCTTTTTTTGTTTTTCATTATGAACAAAAGTAATTTTGCCCCTTGTCATTTAAAACAAATCTGTTAACTTTGGATACTTTGTTTTATTAATGTGAATAAATACACATTTGTTGTGGTTTTGCTTGGAGGATGCAGATTGAAGTTACTTCAACACCTATTTTCACCTAAAAATTCAGATTACACATTGGTTGAGTAAATCAAACTAATTAGACACAGGTCTGGCAGATGGCTATCAGTCAAATAACTAATACACCTCGACCACTGCTGCTGCGGTGGATTAGTTCAGATGATTCTAGATTAGCGTAGGGCCCCCGTGAAAACGCAGAGGAAGCAAGAAGATTATAGCAAATGAGGCAATTGAAAAGAGCATTGATACATTTCTGTAAACCACAATCAATGCTTTGTTTTAACACGTACAGTAAAGGTGTACTGTAGTTTAAGAGGTGTCACACTTCCTCTGTGGTCATTTTCAAAACTTAATTTTGAAAATATAGCAATTTATTGTTGGTGTATGTTGCTTGTAAACAGAAGTAATTGGTTAACAGAGATTATCTGCAGTCATACAGTACAATGAACATGAAGGGTGGACCATACATTTGCATTTCTTTAATATAAATGATCGATTTTTTTTTCCAAAAATAAATAGCGCTTTGAGTTTAGTTATGATGATATGTGATATGCTTTTGTTCTATTGTTTGACATTTAAGATCAAAATATCAATAAAAACTAAAAAGCTGTCCAAAAATGTAAAGTACTACAAACATGTGATGAAAATAAGTTGATTTATTGTCACGGTCTGTCTGTGTTGTGTTTTGTCTGTCTTTGGTTTCCTGTTTTATTTTGAAAAGTGTTCACCCCCTGTCTTGTCTGTTGATTCCTGTCTCTGTGTTTGCCCTCCTTTGTCTGATTGTCTGATTGTGTTCACCTGTTGCCCTTGTGTTTCCGCCTCCCCTGCCCAGCTGTGTCTTGTCCTGTGATTACCCTTCTTTGTATTTAGTCTTGTCTTCCCCTGTGCTCCATGTCGGTTCATTGTTTAATTTTCCTGTCTCCCTCCATGTCAGTCACGGTCAGTCTTTCAGTAATGTTTTTTCCTTGTGCTTTCGTTGTGTTTCACGTCATGTTTTTTCGTCATCGGCTTTTGTAATAAAGCTCGCTTTTGTTTATAGACCTTTACCCTTTTTGTAGTCTGCATTTGGGTCCTACCTTTTCCACAATTTCCNTTGGTGGTGTGTGTGTGTGCGTGGTGCTGTGTGTGTCGTGTGTTGAGCCTGTTAAGTTAGACGTCCTCGGTACGTTTAACATAATATGTTTTAACACCTAGCTTTAGCATCAGCAGTGCTGATGTAATGGAGGCCAACTATTTAGCTACGCTAAGTCAACGGGTTGCAGCAAGGTGCTGCCAATTGCCTCGCTTTACGATTCCTTTCAGAGCTCTATTCGTTAATGGATATGGGTTTGAAGAAGTTGTTACTTTCGGTTATGTGTTGGTTTGGGCCGGTAAACTTGACATCTCAAGTTGCTGTAAAACATGCTTGCCACAGCTCAAAAAAAAAAAAACTTATGGCCTGTTAACTCCTTGACATTAGCTCTAAGCAGCCCAGATCTACGCAGGTAATGATTGCAATGCAAAGTTTTATCTTTTGATCAAAGCAGCTGTTTAGTAAAATAACTTTTTCATTTATTTGTTTTCACTTTGGAAGGGATCGTTAGCATTTCGGACTTGGTGTGTCAACTTCAAAACAATGCTGGTAGCGGTTGCTTCCCTCTCTCGTTCCTGGAGGTTTCTTGACAATTGATGCTCATTGTCTATTGCTCTATTTGATTTTCCATATGAATATACATCTTTGGCGTAAAGGCTGAAAAACATTAGTTATCGACCATTGCTATTGGCCTTGCGTAGGGGACTGATTGCTCGCTATATTGGTGCTTTTGTTCTGAAATCACTCGCTGATGATACTTCATTAAAGCGGCGACCGATCATGGCAAAATGTGCGCTTTTGTCATCTTGTGTGAATTTTGTTAGTAGTATACATGTATGCCGGCGTTCCAGGCGAACTCACCAGTGTCGGAAACACACCCTCTTCTCTTTTCCGTCCTATACCCAAATTTGCGTAAAAACGGGGCTGCAACGGTAGGCTGGTTTGTTATTTGATTTTTCTGACGTCGAAAAGGGGTGCTCGCGTTATATGCGGCCAACGTCTCCACCTAGTCAGGGGAGATGAGAGGCCCGCGCTGGAAAGCGCTGGAGCGCCGGTAGTAATGGCCGCCAGGACCTGCTAAGTGGTGCTGTAGGTCCTGCCCACAAAGCAGATAGCCCTTGCAAAACGAGGGCTGGAAAGGAGCAAATCTAGAGCGAAATGAGGCCATGGGGCTAAAATGCATGTCTGCCTCTGTGGGTATTTTTGAAAAACAACGAATTCAGGACATTTCTTGGGTATAGAGGTATGGGCGCCTCACAATCGTTAGTTTTCGATATAGCCTCCATGAGTTTAGGTCATATTTTAAGACTTTTAACACACCTTAGAGGAGTTTCGAGTTTTGATGTAAGCAGGTAGTTGAGCTTTGAATTTCATTGAAAACTGTATTACCAATGGTTTTCTGGTATTCATGCTGAAAAACAGCGATTGATGGAGTAGGGGTATGGCTATTTGTTGCCCGTTTAATCGTAAAATGGTTACTTGTTTGGCTGCTTAAAGCAAACATGGGCACACTCTCGCTTACTGACAATGCTGGTGTACCGATAGCTTCCGTTCTGGCGGTGGATAATTTCAGTGGGGGCAGTTTTTTTTCGTTTCTTTCTTGTACTGACCTCTCTCACAGCGTGGGTAGGTCGCGCCGCTCCGTGATGGTCCACTATTGGCACATGCAGCAGCTTCGGCGCCCGACCACCTGATATACCAGAGGTAACACTGGTAGGTCACCACGGTGCCCTGAACCAGCTCAGGGTGCAGATGCTACTCTTCCAGCCATTAAGAGATTCTCTTGGCAGCTCAGGCAGGTGTCGTTACGAAAGCTACTTCGTCCAAGTGTGTGTGTGTTGTTGTGTGTGGTGGTGTGTGTGGTGTGTGTGTGTGTGTGCTGTGTGTGTGTGTGGTGTGGTGTGTGTGTGTTGGTGTGCTGCTCATGTGCTGTGTGTGCTGTGTGTGTGTGTGTGTGTGTGTGTGTGTGTGTGTGTGTGTGTGCTGTGGTGTGTGTGTGTGTAGTGGAGGAGAGGACGGTTCGGAGGGCAAACAGCAAGAAAGGACATTAGGAACGAATACAGGATATATTACAGTTCAATTTGTGTGTTTTTGCATCACTTTGAGCTAAAGTCGTGAAATCTTAGCTGGCCTAGTTTGTTAGGACATGGTGCGGCCTCTTGAGGAAGGAGCATCTACAACCCTAACCCCAGATATTTGTCTTTGTCTTTTTTAGGATCAACAACTAGCACTAGCTGATTAGCCACCCTTCTGGACTAGAAGAGCATAAAGCTAAGATATGGTTTGATTGAAGTTGACGGGATGCCTTTATGGGGTGTACCCTTCCAGCTTTTTGAATGTGCTTTCCTTGGAGGTAACTGCTTACCTGATTACCTGTTCAATATTCTTTGACACCTGCCCATGTTGCAGTCTTGTGTTTGCATATCCCACAAATGAGATTCATGAAGAACTATAATAAAGTTCCCCCTCCCTGTATTCCTCTTTGTAGTATCATCCGTATTCTGCCAGCCTTCTTCCTGCCTCTGAATGTATTAACGTCGCTTATCAGATAGTGTGCTGGCCTCGGCGTCGTGCTGATGGAAAGGCCCGCCCAACCACAAGGGACGCCTCTTATTGCTTCCATTTTTAGGTCCTATACCTGCAAAAAACAAATTCCCTGTTCCTTTCTTTCATTTTGCCCCAACTTTCCTTTTTAAAACCTTACTCTCCAATGTGCTGCTTAGTTTCATTCTCCATCCATCTATTGGTATTGAATCCCTCTGTAGCTGGATACCGACATTGTAGAACTTCACTGCCCATACCCTTGATGACCTTCACATTAGACAGAGCTGGCATTAATATTACATGATTTACATAATAGTAGCTAGCGTGTTGAACCCTGCTTTCCATCTTTGCTCTGAAAAGGCTTAACCATCAAAAGACTAAGTATATGGCAAAAATATTTTGAACTAATCCTCTAATAATCACTAGTCAACTTTAGTGTAGTATATGCTTTTTTTCCCATCATCCTTTTATTACACAAAATAAATAAAAAGGATTAGTGTATAAGACATAGCGGGTACAAGAGAATGTCTTGTGTAAATCTTAGGAAATCCTCTGTTCTACATAATGTGACTTTATTTTAAGTTATACATTTTTATTATGCTTTTTGGGGGTTTCCCCTTTCCTATAGAGCGTGTTTTTTGTCCATGTTAATGGTCTGCAAAGGCTAAAATCACAAAGTTCCCTCCAGGAGGTTATATTTTCTTCGGTAACATGGTGACATCATTATACAACAATTGCGCCAATATTGGCTAGCGCTCCAACGTAATGTATGTGATTGGCTAAGGGGTGGGACATCTCAAAGCGGTGGACCAATCACAACAGAGTTGGCCAGCTAACCAATCAGAGCAGATGGGCTCTGGTTTCAGACAGAGGTTGAAAAGAGGTGCTGCAGCACAGGCAATATGAGACAAATAAAGAGCTTTTTGAACATTAGAGCATGGAGACATGTCCCAGTAGAGACACTAATATACACTTGATAATTAGCATAATAGGGCTTGTTTAAGGTACAACGTTATTCAAACTTGTAATCAAAATCGTCAGAAGGAGAATGACACTTGTATTTGGGAGCTAGTGGCCTGCCTTTTGTGTTCTTTAAAATGTGTGGAATAATCATCTGCGGCATTTAAAAAGTGACCTGGTGAAGCAGGGATTCCCAGGATGTCCTGAGAGAGGCGTGCGTATTCCTCTGCAGCATCCAGTCCGTTCCTGGTGTGCAGAGCCTGATCCACTTTAGCCAGGACGATCTGCCTCAGGTTGAACAGCCCTGCGCGAGGGGCACAGTCACATTAAGGGTTTGGAATTCAACATTACCCACAGTTAAATTGGAATACTTGCTTGGTACAAAAGTACTATTTCATGTGTGGTACCCACCGGTGTTTGCAAGGCGGGACTTGATGAGTTTGTCCAGCAGCTCCTCTGGGATGGCGCTGTTGGTCTTGTAGTGCTTGGACATCCTCTGCAGAGGCTCCCTCTCCCACACCCAGTTCTCCAACATCTGAGATGGAGCCTCCACAAAGTCCCGCTCCACGTGAGTCCCGCTGAACATGGCGTAGTCCGCCTGCAAACAAACACATGGACACTCAGAAACCTGATGAGGCGCACTCACTGCCGGCTCACAGCCTGTTTAGGAGACACATTCTCTTAAGGTACGAAAAAAGTAATGACAGCATATTACAATCGGCACCAATGGAATATACTAGAATACACTCCTGTATCATTGGAAATGTACATAGCTAACAATCATTTTAAGCTTTACGAATATCAGCGAGCTCTGCCGTTTGTGGCTGTCACAGAGGGTTCCACAAACTGAGACCAATGTTAATGCTCTGTGTTGCCAGATCTCGCAACAGTTTGTTAATTTTCTCTTAACATGTCCATTGTAAGAATGTTCAGAAGACATGAGGCTTGTAAAAATGGACCCTATATTCACTTTCATAACTCAGTCCATCATAAACTGTGACTAGAACTATCCCATCATTATAGTCATTGGATTCAGACCGGCTGAGTCTCCTAAAGAACCGCAGCAGATGAAACCCATACAACACAGATACAGAAAATTGAATTGTAGAACTAAAATGTATAATTTACAGTTGAAATGCATGGTTCACATCAGAATCAGAATCCCTTTATTAGTCGCACAGAGGGGAAATTTGCACATCAACATGGCACACATGTTGATGCTAAGCTTGTAACATATTTGACCAATTACTTGCTGATTTCTTCTATTCTTATGATCTGTTGCTCAGAGCTATCTTTATCTCTTATCATATTTGTCAGTGTTGATGAACCATTGTAAATAATTGTTCTCCATATAGAAAAAAACACTTCATACTAAATAAAATCACCTGAAAGAGCATTCAAACAGATTTATTGCTACTTTGTAATAACTGCATACTGTTTACGTGAACAGCTAATTGGATGTGAAGCTAGACAGGTGTAGCATCGGTGACTACAGGTGGTTCCTCAGACCTCAGCGCAGAGTTGGTGCATGACGTGTCCGAACTCGTGGAAATACGTCTCCACCTCGTCGTGCTGCAGGAGAGATGGGGCGTCAGCTGTCGGTTTGCTGAAGTTGGCCACCATGGCCGCCACCGACATCTGCCGCCTGCCGTTAGCCAGCAGGCAGCCGGGCTGCAAGCCGAAGCATGCAGCGTGACCATACTTCCCCTCCCTGCAGGGACACAGAACAGACACACACATCAACACATCTGTAGTCAAAAGTAGAGGAGCAACAGGAAAAACAAGGGGGAGAAGGAAAAGGAAACAGACATAAAGGAAGAGGGAACTATTTATAAAGGAAAGAAGAGGAGAAATGACGAGGAGGGGGAAGGAGGAACAGGAAAAGTAAAAAGACGAAGACGAGGAGAGTACATTGAAAGATTGTGAGGGAGGAAATAAAAAACTAAGTGGAGGAGAGGATATTTAGTGAGGGAGGAGGAGGAAAAGTAGACCCTCATAACTCCCATAACTTAGGTGTTCCCTGAATACATGCATGCCCTTTTCACACCAACGCGGTTCCCGTTCTAGCTCCGTGCTAGCGCTCTTCTGGTTCGGAACCGATTTTTCTTTTCAGCCCCCGTTTTGTTCACAACGCCGAGAGCCCGACTGATGCTGCCGCTGCTGCGTCATGACGTCACCGTTTACGCCGCTGATTTTCTCCCAAACGGCGCTCACAACTGCGTCGGGTCGATGATCGTGTTGCTTTTAATCATACGAAGCCAGATTAAATTAAATAACTACTTCCCAACCCTTATACTTTTCTCCAGAGTGCCGTGGTTCATTGCTTATTAATGTGTTTGCTGCTGCAGTGCAGTGTTTGGCATCACAACACTGTTATTAAAGTTTCTCTGGTATAAAATGGGTGATGTTAGCATAGCAACCAAAGCTAAACTGACTACTTGTTGTTGCTATCCTATTGTGGCACAAGCCGTTTTCTACAGGCACATTTTACCGGCGTATTTTTCATTATGATTCTACTTTTGATAGTCGGACATGACCACCTGTGCAGCCCACGTATTGATTCCATCCGATAGCTGCTATAATACAAAATATCTGCCTGCTCTCCACAATGATCAATAACACCGCACGGATGGTCAAAGTAAGCAGTGGCGATTCTAGAGTCTGTGGGGGCCCTAGGCAAACATGAGGCGCGTTCACACCAAGTACTTTTCCCACAAAGGTTCATTGAGAACTACGATTTAGTTGCGTTCACACCAAAAAGTCCCGGAAACTAAATTAGTTTTGGAGAACCCTTTTTACCCCCTTTTCAGTCCCTGCTAGAGAGCAGGGACTTTCGTGGGAGATAAAGGTTCTTGTGTCTGATTGCCTGGGCGGAATGCAAACCACGCCCCGTCAAACTCCCAAAAACGTTTGTGAAGCCGCCATTTTATTATCCTCGCATTGCATCATTAGCATTAGCATTAGCCCAGCGCAGAAACGCAGTGAGACTAACTTATGACAATACAAAATAAAACATGGGAGCAGTGGAGATGAGGAGGTGTCGGCGTTCTGGCGATTTACTCGGAAGGCTTCAGTAGAAGCTGCTGGGAGTCCCAGCAGCTTCTACTGAAGCCAGTCCCCAACTCCGGGGAAGAGTTCTGATGAACTGAGTTCTCATGAACC